TTAGATATTCATTTGAAAAGAAAGTATTTATAAAAAAAGTATTTAGTTGTGTTTGAAGGAGGAATGAAAGAGATGGAGGAGAGATATGTATTAAAAAAAAGAAAAGAACTGTATAAATATTATTTTTTTGTTGTACAATGATCATAGAAAAAGTATAAATGATATCAATATCTGCAATCAATTAAATCAATTACTCAACAGTATCAATACGTATGGTTATATTATGGCTTTTAATTACCTAATCATGACGTATTTTGTTTTTTTTTTTTTATTAAAACTTGAACGTATCTTTTATTAGGATAAAATTGCATCCATAAAATATAGATACCTAGAAACGCCCGTGCAAAACCGAAACGCCTCTATAACAAGAGTATATCTATCTTAATGAAGAACAAAACAAAAAAAAAAAATATAATAAATATAAAAGAAAATCAAACCCGTTCCTAATCCTTGAAAAAAGAAAAACAAAATGAGTGAAAATTTATAATAAATACTGAAGCTTAGCGCTATAAAAATAGATGAGTCCCAACGGCCCCACGCCCAGTAAACAATTATTCAATCTTTTAAAGTTAATAAACTAAACTATTAAATTACATTTATTCTAAAATTTATTATCGGTAATATTTTTTACGTGAAATCACGTGACTTCGATTAACAAATGTAATTTTCTCTTGTTGGTCGTGCCCTTCTTAATCTTCACGTTGCTTCTTCTTCCCATCCTTCTCATCATCTTCTTTCTTCCTTGTAATCTCAACAGCTAATGGTGAAGCTGGTTTTGGCCATTTCTCTCCAGTCTCTTTTTCATCTGTCCATCGGTGCTCCTCCTTTAGTTTATTTGTGAAATCATTGAGCTTCGTATATTCCTGCAAAATCTTGTTTTGCTCCGCGTGACTGATGATTCTATTACCCAAAAGAAGGAAATTATTTGTTTGCATCGCCCAATCTTTAAATTTAGGTAATACATCTCCAACGGCGAAACGTTCTCTTTGAGTTGACGGTGCACTTCCCTCTGATTGAGTTGATGGAGTAGCCCCTGCACTTCCTGATATCCGATGGTTGTTTAGCGCTTCCAGCAGTACTCAGACTTCCCTCCTGTTAGTATAGTAAAACTTGGAAATGGATGTTGAGTATATTTTTTTCATTATTAGGTGTAAAAATGATTTATTTAGGTTAAAATTTTTGGTACATTTATTGCAGTCTTTTTGCAGTGGAAAAAAGAAAGTAGTACAATGAACTAATTAAGAATGTAACACAATTGCGATAAAATCACGTGACTCGGGCAATCTGTTTTGGTCGATAATCGAAAATAATACATATCACATTATGATAAAGATATATTATTTCAATGTAATATGATTATCAACTTAGCTTTTAGTTTGATCTCTCCCTTTTAAATTTGGAATGTCCTTAGGATATTATAATATCCCATAATAAAACAACAGGATATTTAAACAGAATATTTAAATTCTATCATTCAGAAAAAAAAAGATTAATTTTCATATTATTTTCGAACCATGGATTATCCTTTTTGACTGTAATTTTTTTTTTTTGTTAGACAATTTTTTAGAATTTTTTATAAAATGATTTTTTTTATATTTATAAAAGAATTTTAAATAATGCGACAGACTTATAATTATTCCCGTTTTCTTAGTAATACGTTAGATATTCTAATCAAAAATTTTTGGGATGCATTTCAGTTTGCGGAGCATAAAGTTACTGGCCTTTTTTATGCTCGTAAGAGTTTTGTGAGTTTACATTTGTTATCCTGATATCAAAATTACAGTAGGTTCTAATTTCACTTACGATGAACAATATTCAATAATATTGGAAGATATTAATATTTTCATAAATTCATAATTTTCACTATTGTTTATTTAACTGGTTCTTAACCAGTTAACGTTTTTCAGGTTTTCGGACTGTTCATTTGTACCTATTTTAGCTATATAAATAATATTTACTTTATATATACATTGTTACATACTAATTGTTAATAATGTTGGCTTGCGCTAAACCATCAATAAATTATTTGTACCCTCATCAATACTGTACTTCATTGAAAAAAAATTTAAGAAAAATATTCTTGCTATGAAAAGGAAAGAAAAAAGGGAAAAGAAACCAAACATTATTGTCAACTATTTCTTTCCGAATCTATAATTAGATTGAGATAATATAGTTTAATCTAGTGAAACGACCAACAAAATATATATTCTTAGGCTTTATGTTCTTTGCAACTTATATTGTATAACATGATTTAAAAATATTTAAGTTGTAAAAAAAAATAGAAGGGATGATAACTCTTTCTCGTAATTTTTGTTTACACTTTTTTTTTTATTCTTGTAGTTATATTTTCGTCATTTACGAGTTTTTGAAAATTTAGGAACAACCCTCAACTTGTTTTACTAGCCCTTTTACGTCCTTCTACTTGCAAAAGCTTTTTCTCACCGTCTTTATGTTTACAAATTATACTTCTACACCCAAAAGGCTTATTTTACAGCTTTACAAAACAATAAATTATTATCCAATTTCCATTCTCAGCTGTGCCCCGCCTCAGGATGTGATAACTATGGTGATACATTGTACTTTTATGACTGGATCCGAATACCATCGAATTCCCAAAACAGTTTAGGTCCTCCAATAAGATACGTGATAAGTTTATTTCTCACGTTGATGATAATCATCAGTTTTCCAAAGAGAGAACCGTTCATAAATATTTTCAGCATAACAGTCAGTTACTCAAAGATAAATTTATTGCCTTAAAAAATAGAATTTTCGCATTTGGAAGACCTCAAATACACCTAATAATGATTTGCTAGTCAAAGAGCATAATTGTTTTAATAGATAATAAAAAAATTATTGTAGTATAAATTGAGTTGATTATTTTGAAAATGATAATAAAAAATCGGTGATTCAACACATGATGGACGTGATGTACACGTGTTTATAACATGACTCATGGTTAATATATAAAATAGCCACTTTTTTCTCTTATTCTCTTTAACCCCTCTCTCCTTTCTTAGTTATTCCTTCTCGCTTTTCTTTTTCTTTTATTTTTTTTTCTTGTTAAGTATGGTAATAGGTAAGGTACAACCAACTCCACACCTCATTTTAAACCATAGGTACGACCAACTCCACGTTAAAATCTTTAAAAAGTTAAAGCCATACTTTAAACAAAATTTTTCAATAAAATTGAGTAGAGAAACCTGTGTTTAATGCTCGATCGACTTTCCCACATTACGTATATATACGTACGTATTTTATGTATGTATGTACATAGTACGTATTGTGTATATATGTAAACCAAATAATTTGATGGGGGAATGAGAAAGCTTATTTTTGATTTTACAAAAATAATTTTCTTTCTTGTTCTGATGCACATGTGCATTATTTGTTTTATTTGTTTTGATTTTTACATAAATAATTTTATAATTTTCTTTCTTGTTTTTAATGCATATGTGCATAAGTAGTAGTATCTAGGGCCAGAACATAACTAAAAAAACACAGTTTACATATAGAATTTGTTAAGTTGTGAATGTTATTATATTATATATCTATATGTCCGAACGTCTCTGCTCAATTTTTGTTCTTAATGACCCAAATATTATTATTTTTTTTTTTAATCCTATTAATTATAAACTGGTTGTATAAGAATACAGGTAAGTGGTTTCTTTTTTTCCCTGAACGAAGCTTGCCACCTCTACGTGGTGTTCGGGAGTAACAGTTGTAAGTTTATAACTGGCCAAGAGCAAGCAATATTTTACATATTTTTGGATTTTTAGCACCATTTTGTATTGAATATCACGTAAAAATTTTATTCATAATATTAGCGTCATATTGCGTATAATGGATCGTAAAAATCAAAGTTTTGGGTCAGTCCCGACCCGTTGAGTTGGAAACTTGGAGATAATGGCGTCACAGCTCTTTTTTTAAAAAAAAAATCACTACTGAAGTTAAGTTATTAATATATAATTTTTAAGATGTAGATATTACTAAAAAATAAAATGTTTAAATTGTTTAATAAAGATGTAACAAAAAACTTTAATATTGTTTTAAAAATTGTTATTAAAGAAGGGAAATACGCGAAAATGATTGAATTATACTTTACAGAAATATGAATCTAATTATGTTTTCCAGGTTAACATTTGTAGTACACTCAGCACAATTATTGCCAATGATAAAAAAAGTGCTTTTAGATTGCACATTTCTAGATTATCTGAATTTTTGGACCACAAGAAACCATCGAAGCTGCATTATCGGGTAATTTTACTGAGGGTGCCACTAAGAGCTTGTAGACAATATAATGAAACCTGTAAATTATAAGTTTTATAAACCTTCAAAGATCACATTCATATTATTATACCATTCCTTCTTATTTTAACTAAAAAAGATTTTGTGCGAGCGTAATAAAATAAAAGATCTTGCGCGAGCATAATAAGATTTTGACTATAATGTAAATTTAAGTTAATTTTAAATATTTATATTATTGGAAATAATTAAAATACTGCTTCACACTATGAAAAATTATGTAATTTTTGCAAAACTATGATCATTATTCCAAGCAATGCTTCCTGATGAACATTATTACAATATTTTCATTTTCATGTTTTAATTGTTTCATGATTTATAATTGTTTTACAATTAAAGAATGAAATAAAATCTAAATTTTTAAAAAAATTAATTATTTATAAATACATAATTTTATTGTATAACATCTAGAAAAATAATGATTTGAACATTTAAATTTCTTTTAAAAAAAATCACTTTTAAATAATAAGATTTTCCGTATTTTTTATTTATTTTAAAATATATTAAAGATATTAAACAAGAAATAAAACTAAAATAAAATATTTTAATTGACTAGAAACATGGGCATCATATGAAACCTATTGTATATAACTTAAATAATTAGGTCAATAATTATGAATACACTATTGAAATGTCTAATTTCTTTTCAGAATAATTCTTTTGACCCACTATCATAATTTTTACTTACCAGTTAATCAAAAAACAAAACTATCAATAAAAGTAATTTAGAATATTGTATTTTTTAGTTTAATAACTATATTAATAGATAATTATTTTAACAAAGAAACAAAGCAATTAATAGAATTAAGAAAAAAGAAAATAAATTGCCTGCATGAACTTCATCTTCTATTTCGTATTTTACCTCAGTCTAAGCAATCAAGTATTATGTACTTTGAAAGGTTTTCCATCCCATATCTGAAATATGATTTGAAGTAGCCAAATGATAAGTATCCTTAAATAATAATATATTTCCTGGATGAAAATCACGATGAACAATCCGTTTTTGATGAATTTCTTTCAGAAACAAAAGTTTTAATTGATGGTAATATACTAAAGCTAGGGAATGAAAAGAAATATGATGAATATTTTGGTTGGGATGACATTATTAAAAAAATGATGAAATGTTAAATTGTATATCGCGAGGTAATTGATAAAATGAAAAATAAAATGACAATAATTGGAAATTATCAACATATTTTATTATTGTGATTTTTTCATACTAAAAAATTTTTATAAGGTTATGATTTGATTGTTTGTTTTTTGGAAATTCGTGAAGCCACACGTTGTATTTGCTTATTTATCTTAATAAAAACCTTGCGTAGAGCTAGCTATTATAAAATTTTTTGACACCTTATACAGTATATATTTGCTCAGAGTCCTGATATACCATATATTTTTAGAATTCCATCAGAAATTATCAAAGTTATTATCCCTTAAACTGTTTTGCGGGCAAATTTGCCCGCAATTTCTAAATTAGAATAAATGATGCTATAAAAAATTCTTTAATTTTGGCCAGATCGTCACATAATTTTGCAGCCAAATTGATCTACATTCTGGCCATAAATTGTATGAGTTAGATATACAGTTGATCATTAAAATTGGATTAGAAATTAACCCGCAAAAATAGTAT